AGAACCGAGTATCAAACGTTAGAATGATCAAGACCAGTTTACATTTTATTTTTAAAAAAAATCCCTTAGAAAATCCATGAAATCCTTAAAGTCTCAAAATTGTAGATTTATTTTTATTTTGTTTGATTTTTATTTATAATTTTATAGATTTTTTTTTTTTTTTAATAAATTATTTTGCTTAATTTAAAATTTTTTAAATGCTTATTTTAGTGTTTATAATGATGTTATTAAGCGCTTATTTTAATGATATTATTTTAAGTGCTATAAGTCCCGATCCCTGGTTATAACTAACTATTGTTATTGTTATTGTATAATTTATTAAAGAAAAACGTTTTTGATAAATTGATACAAATTAAAGTTTTGAAAAAATCCAGAAAATTCAACTAAGTGGTACTAGGAAAACAGACATATATACCTAGGATACTTATGCTGTAGGAAGGCAAAATATCTAATATAATTGGGTAGTAATATAGTTATTAATCTAAAGATAGTTAATATGAAAAATATAAGGTCTTAATTTATTCTAGAGAACTAAAATATCCTTGACCTCCTTCTGCTTATAAAAAATACCTAACATTATATTTATGTTTAATTTTTAATATGTTCTGTGTACATTTAACTTTACTTTTATTTCTCCATCTACCTATATATTATATTTATACATAACATCTCGTCTTATATTATCAAATACATTAATTATATAATTTTAATATTGTAATTGTCGAACTGTCATAGTTTTTACTGGAAATTCTAAATAAAAAAAAAAAAATATATTGACATTCTAAGCTTTCGGGAGCTTATAAATAAGTAAAAAACTAAGACATTTCGTATCCATAAAAAATCATGATAATATTATATATTATTACCTATTTATAGATAACATTCATATAAATCAGAATATTATAAGACATAATTTGACGATTTGATAGAGAATGTTTAAATATAATAGATATATAGAATATTTTCTGATATTTGTTTTAGAATTACTCTTTTCTTATTAGTAATCACTAATGTAATTTGATTTACGCGTTATAGGTACGGAGAACACATTTCAATAATGACCACGCCCAACATAGATTTCGAAAAAATTCCTGTCACCAACAGTCGAAATGTTCAGCTGATTCAAGACCAAAATGCATATGTTTCAAGAATAAAAATAAAATTAAAAGATATTCCAGCTTTTTTGACAATGAAACGTCAAATTTACAAACTTCTTGGGGTCGTACATTTATTAAAACCAACAAATATAACTATGGTTAGTATTGGTCATTATACATCATATTTTTATCGAGAAGTACTAAACTAATGGGAATTGTATAATGATAATAAAAATATCCCACAAAAATTTAAAGGCACTACATTTGTTAATGCAGAAATGATTATTTACACTATTTAAATGTTATGCATAATAATATATACATTTTTTATATATTACTTACCTATATAATATACGGAGGACATTATCATTATTTTTATTTTTATTTTACTACTACCTTTTTATGGAAGAACTAAAATTATTATTAAATTACTATTATGTTTTTTTATTATTATTATATATTACAAATTTTATTTGATTCGATATTACACAATGTTATTGAGATAAATAGTTTTATCTTTAGTATGAATATTAATAAATTGATTAAACTATAGTTATTATCTGTGACACATTTAGACATTAATAACTACATTTTACTAGCACTCCTCACTAGTGCTCTGCATGGTCCGTTATTTTAAGGACCAGACTGGACTTCAAATTTTACCAGGGGACCGAAGTCGGGCTAGACCACATTTAAACGTTAATCAAAGACCAAAATTGGACCAAACCGACGGCTTCATATAATTTTTTGATCAGACCAGACCAGTAATTAAATAACATTTAATAAAGTAAAATAAGACTATGAACTGCACTATTGGTCTGATTTTAAAATATTTGGACCGTTTATGGACTGGTCCGTAAGGTTCAGTCTGTATTAGCTCAGACCGTACTATATGATGCGTTAAAAAATCCACTGGACTACCCGATTTTATAAATAAATATATACCTAAAGTTGTAGGTTTTTTTTCGTTTTATTTAATTACATAATATCTGTATTTAGATTTTAAGTACCATCAATGGGACTAGACTGGACAGATTTTCATTTTTTTTTTTTTTTGAAACCAGACCGGGCTGAAAATAATTAATTTTATCTGACGACTGGACCGAACTACTCCTAAAAATTTAATGAACTAGACCAAACAGACAATTCAATAGTTTTTGTAAGTTAGGACCGTACTTTAAAATATAGTGATATTATTGATCAATTTCTGGATTTAAAAAGTAGAAAAGTTAATTATTAATACATTTTTATATTAGTGTCAAGAGGAATTAATTAACTGCATTGTTTAGTAATTCTTACTAAACAACTAATTTTATAGTGTTTATCAACAATCATTAATTTTTTTTATTTTTTTTTTCGAAATTCCAATATGGCGGGGCTAACATTTCTTCAGCCCCGCTAAACTTAAAATTTAATTTCACTAGGTTAGGAAGTCAGCACAAACGCGGGACCAAGTAGAATAGACGGCACTAACTTACCCTAACCGAATGAAAATTTCAAAATTACAATATGGCAGAGCTGGGGAAATGGACCCGTGAAAAAGTGATTCTTAAATCTTTTACATAGTAAATTAACGATAAGTAACGATAATTAACGATAATTAACGATAAGGTATAGGTATATATCATAACAATCCAGTCAATATGAATGATCAGTAATATCTTATGATGTAGTATATATAACCAAACTTTATTTTCGAAATTCTACGTATTTGGTTGAATATAATTTATGTTCTAGTTATATATAATAATTATGTAATAGTTATGTAAAGCATTAGACACAAATAACGAATTCTGTAATACTTGTTCACTCAGTATTTTAAATTAATAATGTGCTTATGGAGGAAATCCCCTCTTTCCGTACACCTGTTCGTAAAATTGATATTGTATGATAATATTAATATACTTCTATATATCATTTGTTATCTATTACGAACGTTTTGAACAATGCAAATCATGGGCATATCTAGAGACCAGATATTAGGGTGTGGGGGTACTGACATTTCTGAAAATAAAACTAAATGATATTTAACTGTAATTACCATAGATATATAAAATAAAAAACATAAAAAAAACATAAAATAAAAATAGGATAAAAACAAGAATGCTACATTTGAACTCAGGAATGCTAAAAACTCCATCGCGCCCCCTAGTTGCCCCTATGGTGCCAATACTGCGGAACAAAACCGTTTAGCACGTATTTAAATTTTAAATATCATCTACTGCGTCCATTTGTTCTTCCGGACCTGGAGGAAATATAGCTTCTCACGAGATACGTTTGAATATAAACTCCGGGTGGCATTAAATTAACTAGATATATGAGATGATTAGACGAGTAACCAATACAAGCGATTGTAATATGAGTCTCCAGTCACTCTCCTCATTTAATGACTAGACGAACAAATTCATTAAATGTACAAATATGTACGTAATATGGAAGGTAAATATTGAGCACGTAATTTCAATCAATTAAAGACAATTTAGCTCCTAATGGCATCGGTAATTTAATGACAATCACTCGATGAACAAACAATATTGATGATCGCATCGCATACTATGACACGCTCCACATATTGGTGTTACCCTTCGGCCCAAACTTTTAGATTGAGTTTACATAGATGCACCACTACGCCATACAATAATATACCATCTAACGCACATGTTATCCTGAACATCAGCTAACAAAATAGAAAATGAAGAAATTACATCTATACGAATTGAAATGGATTTACCCTTTATGAACGCATACACATATAGTTGTTATTTTTTCGATTACATAAACCTTGTAAGATAATTTAACAACGAGTTGATTACAGTATTAAAAAAATTTAAATGTTTTATTTGTTTAAATTACTTTGAACAATGTACGAGAAAATATTTTAAATTTAAAAAAAAGCAATTATAATTTTATATTCAAATTCAATTTTAAACTTTACTCAATGTGTTAAAATAAAACATACTTTTTTATGTTCATAGAACATAACAGTATTAGGCAATCATAAAAACAAACGTAAAAGTTACCCTCTCTAGAAGTGAAAATTAATTACTACAAATACTATGAGCATACAAATCAAGGCTTGAAACCGATATTTGATACCGTTTAATCAAAAAATTATTTTTTTTAATCTTTTAAAATTTTTTAATCAAAAACGAAAAAAATCAATAACGGTATTCAAAACCGAAATCGAAATCTTGAAAACTAAATACCGATATTTTAAACCGAAAACGAAATTGAAAAAAACAAATACCGTTATTCGAAACCAAAAACGAAAACGGAAAAAATAAATACCGATAATCTAAACCAACAACAATTAAAATTAAAATATCACATTTAATTGATTTGTAATTTTTCACAAATATTGTATGTTTTATTATAAATTCTGCATCAATATAACTTTTACTAAAAATGAATCGAAAAACAATAAATATTAAAATCTAAGCCGAAACCAAAATTAAAAAAAGAATACCGATAGGTTAGACCAGCGTTTCCCAAACTGTGGTCCGCGGACCCCTAGGGGTCCGCACGTATACCGGAGGGGGTCCGCGAACGTAAATTAAAAATTTACAAAGTATACCTATCCATAAAACGAAAATAATGATGCAATATTCGTATTACATGGGAAATACTGTTGATAATAAATACATTGTTGAAATAGTTATCGTTGAAAAGCAATTAAGATTAGATTATACGTATAGAAGACTGCAGATTGTTCGCGTCAGAGACAAATTGATCGCGTCGGTCAAATAACCGATAGTTTGTTCGTTGCAGCCGTATCGTCGTATACGTAGTGTAGCATACTTTCAGTTAATTTATATTATAAAATAATTGTACGTAAAAATTTATATTTTTTAATTTAATTTATTTTTTAAAATGAAACGCTGGTTACAAAATAATGAAACCACTATGTGTGAAGAAAATGAAGGCGATTCTACAAGTTCTAAAAAAGGATCAACGCATGTAAATAAGCGTCGTAAGTTTTCGGAAGAATACATAACTTTTGGTTTCACGAATATAAATGTAAACAACGAAGAAAGACCCCAATGCGTCATATGCTATGAAATATTATCGAACGAGTCCATGAAACCAGCAAAACTTCGACGTCATTTACAAACCAGACATACAGATTATCTTACAAAATCTAAACAATTTTTTGAATTGAAAGCAGCTGAATTAGAACAAAGTAAAAAATTAATTAAAAAGACTGCAATTGGAACTAATAATGAAAGAGCTGTAACAGCATCTTATCAAGTATCTTTACTTGTTGCAAAAAGTGGCAAACCACATACTATCGTTGAAGAATTGATCCTACCAGCTGCAAAAATTATGGTTTCTGCTATGTTAGGAGATAAAGCATCAAATGAATTAAGTACGGTTTCTTTATCAAATAATACAGTTAAGAACAGAATTGTTGAAATGTCAGAAAACATTAAAGAACAGCTTATTTCAAATATCAAAACAAGTAAATTTTATTCTTTACAATTAGATGAAAGCACAGATATTTGCAATGACGCAAATTTACTTGCATATGTCCGTTATGAAAATCATAATACTATTACTGAAGATTTTTTATTTTGCATATCTCTACCTTCCAATACTACAGGTGAGGCAATATTTAATATATTAAATAGTTTTATAATAAGTCATGATATAAAATGGAATAATTGTGTGGCGGTTAGCACAGATGGAGCTCGTGCGATGTCTGGTACTAGATCAGGCCTGCAAGCTCGTTTAAAAACAATTAATTCGTCTATTATTTGGCATCATTGCTGTATTCATAGAGAAGCTTTAGCTGCAAAAAATATGCCAGAAAAATTAAATGAAGTTTTGCGTGATATTGTGCAAGTAGTTAACTTAATAAAAGCTAGATCTTTGAATTCTCGCATTTTTAATTTAATTTGTGAAGATATGGGAAGTATACACAAGCAGTTGCTATTGCACGCTGAAGTACGCTGGTTATCGCGAGGTAAAGTTGTGTCACGTGTTTTTGAGTTAAAAAATGAAATTAGAATGTGTTTTTTTAATAACTCTATGGAAGTTACTAAATATGCAAATCTTTTCAATAATTTTGAATGGCTCTGTACAGTGGCCTATTTGGCTGATATTTTTAATTCTCTGAACTCATTAAATATTAGTTTACAAGGGAAAGAAGACAATATTTTTCACACGGAGGATAACATTGAAGCTATGTTAAAAAAACTTGAGTTATGGAGAAAACGTGCCCTTCAAAACAATTTTAACCACTTTCCAACTCTTTATGCATTTATAGAATCATCCGATGAAGTTTTTCCTCAGGACACAAAAGATATAATTATTGAACACCTCCAAATTTTGAAACATTCATTTCGAAAATATTTTCCAGTTCCTGACAAAAATAAAAATTGGGTAGTAGACCCTTTTAATGCAGATGTCCCTGATATAACTGGTTTAACAACAACACAAGAAAATCAATTAATCGAAATATCCAGTAATTCTAATTTAAAAAGGGTTTTCAAAGAATCTTCTTTGTCTTCTTTTTGGTTGAGTATAAGACAAGACTATCCAGAAATATCGGACTCAGCACTAAGGCCATTGATGCTTTTTTCAACAACTTATCTCTGTGAAAAAGGATTTTCAGCTTATGTGTACACTAAAAATAAATATAGAAATCGATTAAATATAGAATCAGATTTACGTATTCAACTTTCTAATATAGATCCTAAAATACCAGATTTAGTATTAAAGAAACAACACCATCCATCACATTAAACGCATTAATTATTTATTATAAAAATAATATATCTATTTATCCATTTTTTTTTATTAATTCAATTTTTCATTATAAACATATGTGTATTTAATTTTAAAAATAAAGCAAACAATTTAGTATTATTATTTATTATTGCTTTAATTTAAATTTTTATTTAGGGGTCCGCGATCTTTTTTATTTTCTCTAAGGGGTCCGGCAGAGAAAAAGTTTGGGAAACGCTGGGTTAGACGATAGGACATCGAAATCGGAAAAAATAAATACCGGTATTCGAAAACAAAAATGAAATCGGAAAAAATAAATACCGATATTCAAAACCGAAAACGAAATCAGAAAAATGTTTTTTGGTTTCAAGCCCCGATACAAATATTAAGAATTTTGTATATTATAAAATAAAACAATAACCCACAAACGTAATACTTCTGAACAAATTGTTATGTGTGAGTAAGACGAATTATTTTCAAAACAAGTGTTAAATTTAAATTCTTATTTAAAAGACAATTCTGAGAAGAATAATAAAAATGTAACTTAAACAAATCTAAATATATAAGCATTATTCATAGTTCAATAAATAAAAAAAATTAAATTGTTTTAATATGTTTATAAACTTTTTAAAAATATTTTGAACGTATAAAGCTTACAAAAAAATTATCCGAGTAAAATGCCAATAAACTCTTCACACCACGTTGAAATTAAGTTCATAAAAGTCTTACTTACAATGATATTGTTTTTTTTCTGGAATAGCTTAGGCATTATTAATATTTTAACAAATATTATTTTAATACCATACTAGGTACTTAGAAATTGATTCCTAGTAGTGAGGAGGGGGGATATAAAAGAAAGGGCATTCTTTGTATGGTCCATCAAGACGTCATGACGATTACCTATAACAGTGCACCGGTGGTAGTACATCTTCTAGTGAATCACCGCGGTGTAGCGAAATAAGTTTCTCGTATACGGTTTTCCGGATGCTCGGGAACCATATAATACAAATGACCTCTCGTTATATACGATTCATACGGCGGAAATGCCGTTTTCGCAAACGCCGGATACGCGGGAACGACGTTTGGAAATCGCTGCTACCCCGAGTCATCACTAGTCCGGATATTGCGTTCGGGTCAGCTTCTTGGAACAAAATGCATGATTTTTATTTTTCCTCCCGTTGCGTCGGCGAATTTCATTCGTTGTTTGATCCCAGCAATTGGTCTCCAAAAGAAAGTATACAAAAGAAGACTTCTCTATCCTGGTGACGTTTGGAAACGCCTGTTTGTGGTTCGAAATCAGAAATATAAACTGAAACGCCGCTATAGATACCTATTATAATAATTATACATAGGTACTCAATTATGGATATTTTATTACACGTTTCAAAGTCGCTTTTAATTTATGTTACGGATATAAATCTTCTTTGTAACAACATAATTTTTCCAGGACAATCGATTTTTAGTGTATCAATTATTACATTAACTTATAAGGTATGTATACCTTTCGTTGTTGTCGGTAGTCATTTTTTTCACTTGGACAACGACCCTTATTTTATCCATTATCTGGTTATAACAATCGTTCATATAATATTTCCTAAGTGTCAATTCATCAAGCACATCTCTTTGCATATATTTTTCTAAAAAACTCCTAAAAATAGTGTTTTTTTTTTTTTTATATAAAATGGTATACTTATAGATAACAAAGTTTTACATAAATCTGAGTTGAATTCCGTTAGTTTTGAGTTACGATTTATAACCAATTTTTGCACATTATTTGTTTTTTTTTTTCTATACGTACTGTACTCTGATATGTTTGTTAGTTCTTAGGAGTTGTATAATACTAAAAAGGTTTTCACTTGCTACTTTCACGTTACAGGTTTTACAAATTAAAATAAAATTATATGTTGAAAATACAAATCATCAAACTTGATTACAAAATTACACAAACAATAAGCTAATATCGACTTGTCTTTTAGCATATTGTAATAGTAAAACAAAAAGTAAACACACTATACAACGTAATACACCCACGATAAAACGTAATTCATCTATACGCGGTGAATGTTCTAGAACTACATAATTATTTTACTATGTACAATTTGTTACACAAAAATACAAAAATAAACATAATAAATAATTTTTTTCATTTTATTGTAATCTATACATTGATAATTAAAACAAACTGAGTCTCTATTATCTTTATGAGAAATTTCAAAGTTAAATATATTAATTTTTAACCTAGATTTAAGAAAAATATTCAACGAAATTCATGATTTTCGAAAAAACCTTCAAAATATGCACTAAAAACTTAAAATATGCTCTCATAATCAAAAATATATTCTCTTAATCCAAAAATGTTAAAATATGCATATATATGCACTAAAATTATTAAGCTTTTTACCAAAAATGTGGAATGTATTTTATGCTTACTCTAAATACGATTAAGTTAACCAGCAAAAATAGGTATGCAAAGGCATGAAAGTCTTTGCCCTAGTTATTAGCCTATCATATAATTGTAAATTAGATATACTACATAGTGTGTTTATATAATTAATATAATATGTGAAAAAAACTCAATTAATCTATTAAAGAGAAACAAATAAAAACTCATATTTTATAATGTAAAAATTACAGTTTCTTTATAATAAAAAGTTAGAAAGTTGATAAACTTCTTTGTATGCTCTTCCTTAAAGAATTCTATGTTGACAGGCATGTTGAGATTCAAACGTGTTATGGTAAGCTTTATGCATTCTTCGATTATGTGTTTCACAGTTAGTTATTTAAGGCATATATCACACATAGGTTAATTTTATTTGCTTATGAAGTAAGAATGTGATTGACGGGTATACTCCATTCGGATACGAGTAATTGCAATGTTACGTATTTGATTAAGATTAGGAGGCACGTGTCATTTTTTAACTATTTTTTTTTTTTTTTATGTTTTTGGTCTTGTTTCAGGTTTTTTTTTCTATTGAGTTACTGTGATTTTACTAGGTTTCAAGAATTTTTTTTAAGATGGATATTTTAATTTCGTTCGCAGAAATATTATTTATGGTAAGTTTTGAGTGTGATTTTATTTTCAATTGAAGTGTAAATGTTCGTTGTTTGCTATAGTTTGATTCATTTTTCTCATGCACTTATTGGTTTTTTATTGTTTTATATATTGATGTGGAATGCAGTAAATTTATTAAAGATTGATTTTATTCTCTTTTGAGCCTTTTTTTTATAATGTATATTAGTGTGTCGTTATTTCTTTGGAGCTGAAAAGGTATTTCTTCAATGTAGTTAAGGGTGATGTGTATTGGGCTTATTCTGAAAGTACCAATTGGTAGAAGAATTCCAATATATATTGGATCTAATATCTGGGCGAATGTAAGTTCCCGCACGAGATATAACAGGTTCTAATCACCTTTGGGTTTGCTAACATAAGTTCCACAAAAAAAAATATACCGGTACGTAAGTTCCTACACGAATAAATTGTATAAAAAATATAAATTTTCTTTCCACTTTATTCACACATAATATTTACAACGTAGCTGGTGTGGTTAAAATTTGTTTGTTAAGTGTTTTGTACAAAAAATGTAATCCAATTTTTAATTGAATCTTGTCCGTATATTTAAATTATAATGTATATTCATCCACATTTTATACATTTTCAGTATGATAATAATAATATTAATTACATTTTACGTGGCTTATTTAGATAACATAAACTTTAAGATTATCGTACTATGTTATTTATTTTAAGTTGTATTCTAACATTTTGTTGTTTACCTTCATAATTTTGTTTTCTATTGTTTATTTTTTAAGGTCTATTGGTATCTGATGTTCTTATTTTTATATATGTATTTATTTTAAATATTATTAAAACTTTGAATATATTAGGATGATGTTAATCATTACTGCTATACCATAGCTACCTTCGACCTGTGATAACATACGTCTGTGAAACCTGATCATTGACTACAGGTGATAGCAGAAGTCTTATCACTTTCGAAAGGAAAGTGTTACGAACCATATACGAACCAATCTTTAACCCAAAAACACAGATATATGAAAGAATAAGTAACGAAAATGTAAAGATTCTTTATAATAAGCCAAACATATTCTCTTTTATTAGAAGAAAACGATTAGAATGATTCGGATAAGCATGGAGAGCAGATAGACAGTTAATTAAAAATGTGCTAATCAATAAAATAAATAAAACAAGACCCCTAGGATAACCTAAAACTCAATGAATTGACGTAGTTGCCAAAGATACTCGTATAGTAATGATAGATCAGAACGCAACTTTAGAAACAGCGGATCAGAGATAGATGGAAAGAGATTTTGATGGCAGCGTTGATCTTGAATGGACCGTTAAGCTGATGAAAAAAAATAAAAATATTAGGTTGATGATGATACAAATTTGAGTTGAGTTCTGAGTGAAAACTTTCACAAGCATTAGGTTCATGACTTCTACAAGAACTAGCAATAGCCCAAATACTAAAAGGGAACGTACTATTTTTATCAATGTAATTTTTCACTAAATAATCGCAAAATTCGTTTACTTAATTATTATCTGGTTTTGCAGCTCATGAAAATATCAACAAAACAATTTCTTACTTCTGTTGGATTAAGAAATGGTATACCAAATAAATGTATTAGCCACTTTCTTAGGTTATCATTTGCGTTATTAAATTCCTGTGCTGAACCTAAGCTTTTAATTTTAAGGTATTAAACTTGACCCAAATGAAAACTGCATCCCTAATTACATATTACACATTGCTATACTTATTTTTGTGTAAGAACCTACGTACCGGTGTATTTTTGTTCGTTTAAGAATTTACATACCAATATATTTTTTTTATACAGGAATGTTACTTATGTATAGGTTTACCTGCTAAGCTTCACGTGGGAACGTACCATCTCTGTAATATCTTGAGAAAATTGGGTTCTGCTGTATGAAGTATTATAAAACCATATTTTATTTAAAATAAAATTAGTGACTTTTCGTTATATGCGATGTTTAAGTGTTT